GGGGGGGGGGCGGGGGGGGGGGGGTGAGTACTCAATCGACCATCCGCTATGAGTGGGGTCGTACGAGGGGGAGTTTCCTCGAGACAGTTTGAATTAAGAGCCGTTAATGGTCGAAATGCATCGCATGTGACATGTGAGCAGGCCGGCGGCCATCTTTGGCGATAGCGCGTCGCGATAGCGCCTAATGTGCCTTCAGCCTAAATACTGGTTCACGACGAGGCCAGTCTTTACTTAATTACAGTAGATGGAGGGTTGTTACGCCTAATGCCTGTAAAATGGTCACAATTACACTAGGAAAACAGTCTGTGTTTTATTGGACTCCATCTTGAAGCCATTTAAACAACGTGCCCAGGCATCCAAGCACGAGCACATTCCCTGATCTAGCGCGTAACGACACACCACCCAAAAACAAAAAAAAAAAGTGGCCCCCGTCAGCCAATCAGAGCACCAGGCTCACGGCCGGGTTTAGACCCGGCCCGAAAATGACGGGAGAGGAATTGTGGGAGAAATTTGATGAGAGGATGTTGGCACCAGACAGAGGGGTGTGGTCACATTGTGATTTACAGGCAGATTCCAATAAAAGGCATTGCAGTTTGTTGTTGTTTTTTTTGCCTACTGTAAATTTCAGAAGGGGTGAAAGACAGAACAATGGAGGTAAATGCTTTTACGGGATATTTATTTGCTTCTGAGATGCGGCCATTTAGGGGCATGGTAACCAGTAAGAGTCAAACCAGCGTGAAACAGATCCTGCAGCATGTTAGTAGTCATTTAGCATTAGCGTCGATGCTAGTTAGGTAACATCATTTTCTTTTTCAACTCGGGAAATTATAAGGCCACAATGGCTCTGGAGTGACTCCAGAAAACACTTCCCGCGCGAATGCCGATCCCATCCTCCTGGCTTCAGATGGACCATAGCTGGTGGTAAACATTCGCCCTTTTCAGTCTCTGTGTCTCTGGGGATGTTTGTGAGGAATTGCATAACTGCCTTTTCAGAAGAGAATATTTCTAACCTTATCACTTGTTAACAAGCGTTCCTTGGCTTATATTTAGAATTTGAGACTATGTAACTCTTTGGAGCTGTTTTGCTATGCCGTCGATTAGCGCTCGTTTGGTTGCCGTTCTGTGTTTTCTTGGTCACATTTTGGGGGCAGGGTCTTGACATTATTTATTATTTTTCATCAGCGCTGGTCTCAGCTCAGCCTTTGGGTTGCTTGCTTGGAGGTGACCTCGCCTGCCTGCTAATCACTCCATGTCAGAAGGGTATAAACCCTCTTTTCTGTTGTCGTCTTTTTGTTTCCCAGAATCCAGAAAACTAAATCCTGCATTAGTTACATTCCCTTGAGAGGTCAGAGGTCATCAGTGAGAAAATGAAGACCTATATGGGCCATATGAATCGAAGATGAATTAAGGAAGGGAAAATTGGGATTTGTTACATTCCCATTTGGGCCTGATTTAGATTTTGATCTAGAACCTTTGCCGTCTGTGCGTTCACGTAGCGGAAGTGTACTATTCTGAAAGCTCGGCCAAGCGTCCAGAAAAAAACAGGAAAAAGCAGCTCCGCGATCCTGCTTCCTGATTGACCCCCTCCCCCGAGGGGGGCCCCCCCCCCCCCCCGAGGGGGGCCCCCCCCCCCC